TGATCAGGAATTACGTAAGCCATTTTCTAGATTAAAAAAAAAAAAAAAAAAAGGTGGGGGGGTTGGGAGTCTAAGACGGGTGGAGTAAAATTGAAGCTCTGCCAGGGGCTGACAATCCTTGAGGCCGGGCATCGGGTGAACAGGGGTCCATTATACTCTTTTCTCCATTTGCATCTATGTTTAAAATGTACCATAATAAACAAGTTGTTAAAGGGGTGTGGCGAGAGGACACTAGTTACAACCTGAAAACAAAACCAAGTGTCCTTTGCTCTCCACCCTGTGTTTGAACACAGAAAAATCTGGGAAGTCCTCAGCCTCTCAGATCCACAGGCCGGAGGGTTCATGCACTCCCAGGGCAGAGACAGCAACTTCTAAAGCACCACACATCACACTCGCTGTCCTCAACAAAATCACCTTTGAAAAACTCCCTAGAACTTTTCAAAATGATTCTGGCACGACCCAGCTTCCCTTCTTGGCCTGCAAACCTTCTGCCTCCAGAACTCACCCCTACAGCCTCATCCCACTACAAGGGCCTCTACTTCCTGTTCCAAACTAGTGTGTTGAGCAATCTAGCTATTGAAATAGCTCCTGGGTGGCAGACAAATGCCTGTGTTCCAGCAGCTCGTTTAGCTGATTCTCCTTCCTGGGGGCCAGAAGCCAGGGTACCATTATCACTTTCAGGAAGTCAAGGAACACTTCGTATGACCGTCTTCTTCTTCTTCTTCTTTTCCTGTAACTTCAACTTGCTCCTCATAAGAAATTGTTTTTATGATCTAAAGTGGATTTTGTCAATCTCAACCCTGTTGAGATTGGCATTTGGGGTTACTAATTCCCGGTCTGGGGAAGGGGTGGGCGTCCTGTGCATTGTAGGATGCTCAGCAGAATCCCTAGCCCCCACCCACTAAATGCCAGGAGCTCATACCCCAGTTGTGACAACCCAGAATGTCCCAGACATTGCCCCCACGTTCCCTAGGAAGCAAAACTGCCCCTGTTTGAGAATCACGGGTTTAAAAGATATTGAAAACCCAAGACCAATTATTGTCCTGGGGAAAAAAAATTGAGGTTATACAATTTATTTCCACAGGCACTATTAGATAATATATTTCAACATATAAATTGGTAAATATGAATATTCAAGACATGCTGCACCCTAAGCCGGAAACACATAAATTAACAAGAGAAAATTCAACTTATAATACTCCTGACTACTTTTCCTGTCTTTGTGGTTTCCTGCGTAAATCTTGGTTCCTCCAAATTATTCTGTTTGCCTGTCAACATGGTAATCATTTCACCCAGGCCTCCTCTGAAGTGCCCCATCATCTGCGTTAGAAGGAAAAATTTTTAATGACCCTGAGCACTCCCCAAGGTGGGCTGGCTCTCCAGCACTTATTTTACAGGTGTCATGGGAAAACAGAATCCCCCCAAAGAAGGTTTCCTAACGAAATGACAAAGAAAGCATCACCAACAGGTCAGGTACAACTCCAGATGACACCAGATTCCCACCGTGACCAAGGAGCACCAGACACCACTGGCGGGGCCCAAGGAGTCTGCAACCCCCACAGGGACTCCAACCCCCCACAGGGAAATACTGTTACATTTCTCCATTAGGCAGAGGGAGTTTCCCACTGTATTTAAATGGGACACTCCCTTCTAGAGAAGAAAGAAAATCTGTTTCCAGTCTACAGGGGCCTTCCCATTAAGCTCCAGTCTATTATCCAGCTTTGGGGAACAAAGGTAGCTGTCTCCCCTGCCCACCCCATCACACTCCCCAGCTCCATTCGGGGGTTCTCCAATGCCCCCACCCCACCCCAGGGAGACACTGACTTGTTCTTCCCCTCTGACGCTTGTGGACAGTCAAGCACTGGGAGGGAGAGGGGGTGGATTCTGTCTTTTGGGGTCCATTCCTCTGTTACCCCAAGTCACTGCCTGTCTCAGTCTGGACCACCCCAATCCTAGATTCTGACCAAGGCCTCCTACCTGTCTCCCTGGTTTCACACTTCCCCTCTAATCCAGGTTTTACGCCAATGATGATCCATCAAGAGCACAAGCCAGAAGGGCCCAGAATCCTTCTGTGGGTTCCCATTCCCTGTCACTGGATACAATTCCAACTTCTTTGGTGCACAGATTTGTGAAGCCCATCCAATGTCTGACCCACAAGGTGTCCGAGTAGGAGCAGAATGAGCACTGAGTGGGAGGGATTTACCCACTGGATTTATGGGCAGATGGAAGGAGAAAAGAGAGGAGGGAGGAGGGTGTCAAACTCAATGACCCTAAAGTTCCCTTTCAATCCTGACTTCTTGTGATTCTGAGAACTCCTGGGTCCACCACTCAGAGCCTCCCATCATCGGACCCCAAGCCTCCTGCAAAGTAATGCCACACTGTCCCCCACAAATGCCCCTCACACAGGACGGGACCTGGTTACCCCACTTCTACAGGATGACTTCTTTCCTGGTCGGCTTTCATTCTCCTCATTACAAAAGGAATGATGCTGGTGGCAACAGAATGAAATAACAGAGGAGTATTTAAGATGAAATCTCTCAACCATTACACTCCCATAATAGCCCCTGGCAGCCTAGAGTGCTGGGTATGCCCCTGTTCCTTCCCCATCACACACACACACACACACACACACACACACACACACACACTCGTTTGAAACTTGATCTTACACAGTGCCTTAGGGAGGAGGACATTTAATTCTGAGGTGCACTCACTCATCTCTCCAGCACCCCATGAGGTTAAGTCTAGTTAGTTCATCTGCTTCTACTGCTGCTGTTCCACCAATGAGGGAATACAAGGCAGGAGAGTGTACATCCTGCTGGAAATCACACATGAGCTGCAGCAGAGTTAAGACCACAGCAAGAAAAAAAAAAAGAAGACAAAAAAATAAAAATAAATAAAAATAAAAAAGACCACAAGAACCCATAACCCAGTGTCTGTTACTGCGCCATAAAGCACTCTTCACCCACGCTACAGAATGCAATGTCCTACAGACAGAAGGCAGAGATAAATACCTGTTGAAAGAATAATCTACGGAGGCAGGATAGCACAGTGGTTGGTTAAGTACTTGGACTCTGAACTCGGGCTGTCTAGGTTAGACTCCAGCTGTCATCTACCCCACTGTGCCACCTGAGTCCATCAACAGGACCTCAATTTCAGCATCTGAAACATGAGGTCATGACAGTACTTCCCTTACAAGGTCACTGTGAGAACGGGAAAGCACCCAAAACAGTGTCTGGTACGTGTGCTCATAAAATCACCATCAACAGCTCTCACAGAAGCCCCGAAACACAATAAATATCACCCTTCTTAAAATGTAGGCCGGCAAATCAAAACCACATCTTGTTAGCTCCATACCTTGTCCCAAAAGAAATCAGCATCGGGGAGAAACTCAGATGATACAACTCGAAAAAATATCTAAGTGACCCAGTGACTGCAACCACTACTCCAGGGAGGAATGACCTCAGAGATCAGTAACACCTACTGCACTGAAGAATTAAAAAAAAAAAAAAAAAAAAAAAAAAACCTTAACAGCCTTTAACAGCCATTATCCAAGTAAAGTGGGCTGCAAATCTGTTGGAGAACTGTTTTTGCCGTGATAATATTTCTGGTACCTTGCTGCTTCTATACTAAACGTACTGGTGTTGCAGAACTGGCATGCTAATAGAATGATCATTGTAGGAACACTATTAACATGAATTAGACATTATTAAAGATTCAACGCTAGGACAGTGCCTCATTACAGAAGTTTCGGGCTGTATTGCTTAATGGGCAGATAAAAGTGCTAATTCTTAAGCCCACTCGTGGAGGATGTCCCCAGGCAGGTGTGGAAACCACAGGGAGCAAGAGGTCTAGGGACTAAAGGAGGAGCCGCCTTGCCAACCCCGGTGGACACAGTCCTATACGGGGAAGATGGGGACGGGACAGGAAGAGCCAAGGTTCCCTGCACAGGAGGGGTCACCTGGTGAAGCAGACAAGTATCCAAACTTGCCTGAGTCTCAGGTTGGTTGGTTTCCCCCTGAGCCACTGCCTCGGCAACACTTCTGAAACCTCTTTTCCTGCGTGAAGACGATCGGGGACCCTCAACACACGGCGTGAGCGAGGAGAGGCACAGGAAAGAGACCCCTTCCCGGGCAACCAGAGGACCTGAGCAGCTCTCCCGGCTGCACCTCGGCCCAGAGCATGCCCCTGCCAGCAGCCTCAAGCTCTCAGGGCGGGGGGGGGGGGGGGGGGGGGCGGCTCTTGCAGAGTTGCTAGACCCGAGGCATTAGCCACGCGCTTCAGGATCTGTTTTGCAAAGCACCTGGCCAGGTATCAACTGTCGGGGAAACGCCAAGTCCGTTCGCCTACCTGGTCTGAATGTCAATGCTAAATTAGGAAAGGGAGCAGCGCCGAGCGGGAGGGGAGGCTGAGCCGCCCGGGCCGCTGCAGCCCCGGGGCCAGGCGCCGACCGCCAGGCGCACCGACCCGCGCGCCCCGCTGCAGCCCCGGGGCCGGGCTCCCGGCAGGACTGCGGGGAGGGCGACCCGGGCCGCAGCCACCCCGGGGAACGGCGACGCCGCGCGCCGGGCGCATCCTCGCGGCCCGGCCTCGGTCTCCGCGCAGCCCCGGGGGGATGTGCACGGACGCCGGCCGCAGAGTGAAACTTTGCCGGCCCCCGCTTGGCGCTGGGCGTCTGCCTCCGCCCGCGGGCGCGTCGCGGGGACAGGTGGGGACCCCGCCCGCCGCCCCTGCGATGGTGTAACCGGCCCGGGGGTAGCCGCACGCCCCCGCCCCGGCCCCCGCCCCCGCCCCACGCCCGGCTGCGGAGCGCGGCCCCGGCACCCGCTGCAGCGCGCAGCCCGGGCCGCGGGGGGGGGGGGGGGGGGCGTCGGACCGCCCCCCGGGACCGCCCCCGGGCGGCCGGGGAGCCGCGGCGCTGACACGGCCCGGAGGGGGCGCCCGCGCGGCGGGCCGAGCGGAGGAGGGGGCGCCGGGGCTCGGCAGGCGGCCGGCCTTACCTGCGCCCGGGCCGGCACGGCGGGACGCGGCTCGGGATGCCGGGGCGGCGGGCGGCGGGCGGCAGCGCGGGCGGCCACCGGGCCACGGCGGGGTCGGAACCGCGGCGGCGGCTGCGGCGGCGGCGGCGGCGGCGGCGGGCGCGGGACTGACAGCCCCAGGCCCCGCCCCCGGGCCCGGGCCCCGCCCCCTCCGCGGCCGCGCGGCTGGCCCCGCCCCCTCCGCCCTCCGCCGGGGTCAGGCTCGGTCCACCAGCCGGGAGGGCGGGGGCGCTCGCTTCCGATTGGCCCGAGGGACGCCCGCCCCGCCCACTCCCCGCCCCCTCCGCGGCCGGGAGCGGCGCATGCGCGGTGCTGGCGGGCTAGGTCCCCCGCGGCGGGAGCCGGGCGTCCTCGCGGGTCCGGGGCGGCTGGGAGCCCCGGGTGGCCCGGGGAGCCGGGAGTCAGGCCCACACTACGTGGTGCATGGTCCTCAGTCACCTGGAAACGAATCGACGGGAGGCAACCAGACCGGAGTGGGCCAGGCCCCACCCAGAGGAGCCCCCAAGATGTGACCTGCTGCGGAAAACCAGCCCCCAGCCCGGATGCACGTGCGACGAGTCCCAGGGGTGCTTTCTCCGCGCCGCGTTCGCCCCTGGGCAGCGGGAGGGATGTGCGTGCAGGGGGTCCAGTAGTGGAGAAGCGAGGTTAGGGCGTTAGGGTTGGCGAGTGATGCTGAAGGCGGTGGCCTTCCCCAGCACCTACCTCCTCCCCCCGCCTCCCCCCCGCGCCCCTCTGCGCCGATTCCTGCGCCCTCGGCCTGTAAACCAGACCGAGCCTCTCCCAGCCAGAATGGAGACCCAGCAATTTCCACTCCTGAGTATGTACTCCAGGAAATTGGAAACGCATCTATGCAAGACCTTGTACACAGGTGCCTATTCGTAATGGCCCAAAGTGGAGACGATTAGAAGGTCCATCATTTGATGAAAGGATACACTATGGCTTTTCCATACGGTGGAACATTACTGGGCCGTAAGAAGGAATGGGGTAATAGGGATGAAATTTTGGAAACTACATGAGGAAAGGCAGATATGAATGACCCCATAGCATAGGAGTTCCATTTTTATGACATGTCTGGGATCAGCACATCTACAGAAAGTAGATGAATGGTCGCCAGGGGCTGGGAGTAAGAGAAAATGGGGAGTGACTGCTAATGGGCATGGGGTTTCTTTCTGGAGTGATGAAAATGTTCTGGAACTAGAGACGAGTGATGATTGTACGACTTTTGTGAATACACCAAAACCACTGAATAATAAACTTTAGAAGAGTGGATTGTATGGCATGTGAATTATCTCTCTCTCTCCCTCTCTTTTTTAATCAACCTACGAAACACATGAAAACAAAGATCCACTAACTCCCTTGAGGCTATACGCTTTCCAGCAACTTCGCGTTTTCTCAGCCCTTCTTATCCAGGATTCTTGCAACATGTTTTCACCCCTCCCTCCTCATCTCCCATTTATATATTCGTTCCCTAGAATGTGGCTTCTGCTGGTACCAGAGCTGAAATCTCTTCTCTCCTTGGATCCTGAAGCTTTCTATGACCCTGAAAATTCCTGGTTTTCCTCTTCCTCTCCATTCTTTTGAGCTTTCCTATTTTAATTTTTTTTCCTATTTTAATATTGATGTTTCCTGTGGCTTCTTCCAAAATCTTTCCTAGGTTCTATTGTCCATGTCTATGAGTTCTGTTATGCTTCAGATTCCAGCATCCACCTGATGTGCCACGGGTTTCTCAAATGTAGTGTGTCCTAAGCAATTTGTCATCTTCTGTCCCCCTGCTCTAACTTCTCTCCAGGAGGGATATCTATTGCTGCATGCTGGGACCTGGGAGTTATCCTTGATGCTTCCTTCCTTCTGCTTCTAGACTCAGCCACCAATTTTTATCCCATAAGTATTCTTAAATCCCACAATCTTTCTCTATTGGTGGTACTACCCCAGCCCTAATCTACACTCCCATCATCTTTTGCCTTCTAATTCCCTTCATCTTTTGTCCCCTTCTGTCCCCTTCAAATCCAGCTTCCAAACAGCTGAGAAGGGGACACCCATTGCTTTAGCTGACATAGCTGGCATTCCTCTTTCTCATGATGGCAACACCCAGATCTTGCTTTGGGAAGCCACCCTCCCCCATGAGATATAGGCTTGGTGAGACTGTCCATCAAGATGCTGACCTTACGGGATCCCTGGATGGCTCAGCGATTTAGTGCCTGCCTTTGGCCCAGGGTGTGATCCTGGAGTCCCGGGATCCAGTCCCACGTCGGGCTCCCTGTGGGGAGCCTGCTTCTCCTTCTGCCTGTGTCTCTGCCTCTGTGTATGTGTGTGTGTCTCATGAATAAGTAGGTAAATAAAATCCTTAAAAAAAAAAAAAAAGATGCTGACCTTACTTGACCCAGGTTCAGTGTGCCCTCGAGCTGAAGCAATGAGACAGTCTCCAACAGAAATTTGAATCCCAGGCAGAGCCACATAAAAACAGAAAGTGGTTGGACCTGATTGTTCCCAACCAAGGAGACTCCCAGTCAATTCCTGCTACCTGTGCCCTGGGAGCTCCATTCAGAGCCTGGGTGCTGCAGTTTTTCCTTCCCGAATGACCCTATCTCTCTCCAGAGTATTCCTGCTTCGGAAATTAAGCAGAGTTGCCTGCAACCCTAGAACCTATTCGATAAAGAAATATGTCTAAGACACCAACCATGTCTTTACCTACTACAACTGTTTCGAAGCATCCCATCACCCATTGGAGAGCCTCCAAGCTGAGTCCCAGCTCCCACCTGCCTGTCCCATGCCTTTCCTCCCCACTGTCTGCCTTGTCTCCCCACTTTCTGCCCTTCTGAATTACTTGGGCATTCATGGCAAGGTCACACTAAGGTTTCACGCCTCTGTGTTCAGGAGTCCCCTCTGTGTAGAGTGCCCTTCCCTGTTCTCCCCAGCTAACTCCAACCATCGCTTAAGGACTTCTCCTGAAAACCCTTCCTGGCTCTCCCTGCTACCAACATTCTGTCCTCCTCTGTGTTCTTAAAGCACCCTGTTTTTCCACCTGTTACCACACTTACTGTTGTGGTATCTTACTTATCCATTTAATTATCTGCCTCTCCCACTAAACTTGGAGTTCCTCGGGGGCTTCCTTCCTATATCGTTAGAGCTTAACACCTGGCACATGGCAGGTGCTCAGAACCTTCCGTTCTTCTTCTTTGCTTGTATAATTACTGAATAAGAGAAAGAGATCTCACTGAGGAACATTAACAGGTCTTTTCCCCCAGAAGGATAAGAAGCAGAAATTCAGGCCTAAGGCATCTCATACAGGTCGTCCGAAACTGTATTCCAATTCCAAAAAATGTTCCAGAAGATGGCTAAACCCTCAGTAATACTGAGAGGCACTTATTTAAATGATGTGGCTCTCATCTTTAAAATCTACTCAATGTCTCCTGAAAACCTTCGTGGCTTAATGAGATGCAAAATTAAGTAACTCAGACAATTGTACTCATTATTGTGACTACCTGGCGAGGTATGTTTTTGTCTTTGCTTATAATCATAGCCACAGAATAAACTGCATGTAACAAGCAAACCCATAGTTTCATTTGGATGTCTATTGTGTAGCACGTACTACCTCCAGTGAACTTATGTAGCCAACCATATGCAAATGCTGAGGAGAGCTGGGTTCTAGTCCCACTCTGGCCATGACCAGTTGCTTGACCTTGGATGAGTCCCTGCCCTTGGATCCTTGCAGTCAGCCTCCCCAGTACCCACTCCTTTTTTGCACCATCATCTGAACCACAACATTTCTTTGGAAACTCAGTTTTATTCCACTCTAACCCAAGTTGTCTTTCTTTTTTTTTTTTTTTTATTTATTTATGATAGTCACAGAGAGAGAGAGGCAGAGACACAGGCAGAGGGAGAAGCAGGCTCCATGCACCGGAAGCCCGATGTGGGATTCGATCCCGGGTCTCCAGGATCGCGCCCTGGGCCAAAGGCAGGCGCCAAACCGCTGCACCACCCAGGGATCCCCCCAAGTTGTCTTTCTTAACCTGACTCCAAACTTTAGGAATTAGGCCTAGTTGGCTTAAAGCCATCATTCTATCGCATCTCTTTGGTTACAGAAATCGGTTCAAAGGAAGACATGGAGCCCAGTCAAGACAATGAGATCCAAGAAAACATTTTCTAGGACTTCTGACAAAGATTGCTGTCCCTGCCATAGCTCTTGTCAATGCTATAAAGTCTAGATTTAATACAGGTGCATGTGACCACAAGAATAGAGACCAGATTGCCAGACATTGTGTGAATCCTGAGGAAGGCAGAATGGGAAAATAGAAAATAAAACAGAACCCTGGTTACATCGCTGAGCAGTGAGCGACCAGATCAAGCCACACCTGAAACTGTTACTCCATACTTTCCAGTTACATGAGCCAATAAATTCCCTTCATGGTTAGAGTTTAGTTTTCTGTGTATAACATGTGTAGTCCTAATAATAATAACACTTCACAACCTACAAAACAAATGAAAATAAGCCTCTATCTTCTCATAAATAAAATAAAGATAATATGAATAATCTTTAAGAATCCTGCCAGCTTTCACACCCTATAAGTCTCTGAAGGGTAAATGTATTCATAAAAATGTGAGTGCATTATCATTTGCTAGTAAGCACCAAGGAAAATAAGACTCTCCAACATAACCCAACAAAAGATAGCTGAAACTAGAAATATAAACAGAAATCCTTAATATTTGCCTCTATCAGGAGTTACCCAGATTTCTACCCGCCCCCCTCATACTTCAGCCACTTGTTTCTAGGCTCTGAAAATAGTGAGAGAGGGAAGGGTGGTCTGGGAAGGAAGCATGTAAGCAAGCTCTGCTTTAGAAGACTGGATTCTTAGGATGGTGCCTGTGGCCTAGACTCTTTGTTCAGATTCTGATCTCTTCTACTGAACCCTTTGACCTGAGCCCCACTCCTCTGCACCTTCTCTCTCTCCTGGGATCTGATTTCTGATTCATACATTTTACTTGCTGGCAACCCCACTACCGCCCCCCACTCCCCACCTCACGTCTGCATTCCCAGCACTGACCAACTTCAATCAGTTGGAAGTG